AGCCTAGCTTATGTTGGAAAGAAAATTCCTAGCTTCTGTCCTACACGACTTCTCGCTCTAACCCAAAAGATTATCAAATGAATAAGAACCGTAATTAATAAATTCTTCAGGAAATTTCTGAAAGAGTTTTTCACTGCATTACATTTGAAAATCTCAGGGCACGGGTACCGTACCAGCTTATTCCTCCTGCACAATCATTTTTATAGGTGAAGAACAAAATCGCGATTCTTGATGTTATCGAATCGGATACTCGACCTGCTTTCTATCAACATGCAATGTGTTGGTTTTTAGTTTATTATGGGCTCGAGTTACATCGTCACAACTCGTACACGTTGTTTGATATATATTACCGTAATTTAGTGCTCTTTTGAAGAGCCATATTTAGCATTTCAACATCTCCTTATAACCTTCATTTATCCATTCAGTGTCTGTTGCCTGCTATGCTCGTGCTCAAGGCTATGAGTTCCGTATAGTCTTCTCGTCAAACTATTCAGCAGAATGTCCTCATAGCGATGTGAGCGAAGAACTAATTGCGTATTAAAGATCCTTATTGAAAGGTTTTGTTAATTTTTCTTTTCAGGTTTATTTACGACGCCACTGCGTGGTTGCTCATGTTCTGCCCCATTATCATACAATTCTGTATATTGACGCTGACATGGGAGTTGTGAATCCGAAAAAGTTAGTGCCATTATCTCTTTTCTTACAAGGGAGGGATGCTTACTCGCACCGACAATTTGAAACAGGATACTTAAGGAGAATCAGCTCCAAAAGTTGATCTCATATCTGTTGTCTACGCTGCTAAATAACGTTTAGAAATAGTTTCACACTTGTTCTCTTATACATTTTACATGAACACATTGGTTTAATGAATGGATGCTATGCGGTTTCAGATATCTGCCGTTATTCAGTGATTTTTTCTTTAGGTTTAGGTGTCTGCAAAGAATGCTCGTACCGCATATGCTCCTTTTAAGAATTGATTCAGGCAAATTTTCAACGAGTTAAGCGCTTTCAGTACCTTTCTTTTATAAAAAGACTAATCAACCTTGCGAGGTCAAGATCATCGCTATACTTTTGTGCTAATTTTTCAAGCACGTTGTACCTGCACAACCTATACATTTGATATATACTCTCAACTTATGCAGCCCAAATCAACTTTTATTCAATCATTTGGTGATTATGCAACCCATGGCTGGTCACACCTTTCTTATTGCATGTTTCGCTCCGTTTCAAACTTTTATAGATTGTCAGTGTATTTAACTTATAGGTTTCCAGTGTATTTAACGTGAACAGATGATTTATCTCTGAACAAAACTAGTAAAGCAGTGATCAATGGAAAACCACCGAACATATGCTCTGGCCCCATGCACCAGACATGTAAATACTGACGGCATACAATATAAACATGCTCTAGAAACATTCAATAACCAAAATAAAATCTTTATAACTGGTATCTCTTAGTTTCTATCAGAACAACGCTTTCACTTTGAAGACAGTAAAGCACAAAGAAACTCCTTCTAGAATGTCGTTTAGCAGATGTGATAGACAATTTGAGATCAATGAGCGATTTTTCAGAAGAAACATTTTTTTGTCATTGCGCCTCAGTAAGTTTCCCTTGTTCGATTATTAACCTTTGATTAAAACAGGGAAGTTTCGAGCTGCTTTATGTGAATACTTTTAGAGGCGCTGACAGCTCTATTGTTTCACCTTTAACTAGTCGAGAGTTCAATTAAAAAGCCAAAGCTCCATCCTTATCGTAATAGAAGTTCCGCGAATAACTTTGCAAATGTAACGTCAATCATTATTCAGGCGAATCGAGGAATACATTGCAGAAAATGTAGAGATAACCTTTTTTGATCGATTTTACAATTGGGAAGTTGCTGCTGGATCGTACATAGTCAAAAATACTGAATGGACGCAGAAGTTCCTTAAAGGTAAAATTTTTTAGTAGTACCATGTGTTTGATTATCACGTTTAGGTTATAGATTTTGCGGACTATGAGTATCGCCTACCAAAGTATTACCACGGCACCGACAATGGGGCTTTGCATGTGAGTGTCAAACGCAAGCTTTTCTTTGTTTGCTTCTGCGATCTTTTACGCAATTCTCAACCTTGAATCATCCCTTTTTCTTATATTCACATTCATTCATAATGTTAATTTCTTCTATCTGAAAAAAAGGATTGAAAGTAGTGTGAAAGAGGCTATTGTTATTATTTTTGCTTATTTGAAGTTGACTTTCTTACAAAGCAACTGTGCCTCAAAACTTCTTCCTTTTTTTCCCTACAATTCTAGGCCTTTCTCGGGGAAGTACTGTTTGGTAAGGAGAGAAAATCGGAGCTGGGTTTCTGTCTACACATCTATTACAATCTAAAAAGCTTCGAAGACTTGTTCACATTCG